AGACAAATGCAGGCATAAGAACGGACGGGCCACGACCCCCATTCTCTTGGGCCCTGAAACTGATGCAGCAAGTCGCAATCGACTGAACCAAAGCACCAAAGGGACAGTCGCCGCACGGTGCAACAGTCAAGGCGCACCGAACCTTGCATGGAGGCCACTGAGGTCGTGACGGCCCAGCTCGCGAGGACGAGCAACCCAACTGCAACCTGCACCCGCATCGCGACGGCCAACTGCAACACAACCCACATACGCTCGTTTGCGTTCTCAATGTCGTATGCTCTCCCCGTCTTTTTTCCCTCCCCTTCTGTGCAGACAAACCCGCCGATCAGCTCGCCTCGCTGCCGTTCACACACACACCCCCCGTACTAAAATTCAGGAGCTGATCCAACCAAGAGAAATAGAAAATTGATGAATCTCTCAAACTAGCTCTCTCTCTCTCTCTCTCACACACAAACTCTCTCTTTTGCTCTCTCTCTCTCTTTTGCTCTCTCTCTTTTGCTCTTTTTCTCTCTTGTGATGTTCTCTCTCTCAAACTCTCTCTCAAACTCTCAAACTCTCAAACTCTCTCAAACTCTCTGTCTGTGTCTCTCACACTTTGAGGGAAGGCTCTGGGCTGTGGGGAGAGCAGGTGCATGTGGTGCATGTCAGTCAGTGTCTTGGGGCATTGGCCGGACCGGATGAACAAGGCGTGATACGGACGGACGGACCACAAGCATGTTTCGCCGCCGGATGAATTTTGTCGCCGGTGGTACGCTGGGATCAACACCGGCAGCGGCGCCAGCTGCAAACACCAGCTCGGCTTCACCTGGTGAGTGGATCCGTACCCGACGCAGCGCTCGGCATGGCTGTTCGCGCAGCAGGAGTTGCTGTCTGTGTGACGTGTTGTCCGACAGAGGGCAAGTCTCAGTTGATGGCGCCCCTCATCGCCCGCCCCCGCCACCACCACCACCATAGCGCCAGCCCCCACGGCACAGCCTCGTGTGGAAGGACACTGGACCATTTACGAATCCGCCTCGGGTCGTCCCTATTACGTGAACAACCGGAACCAACAGCGAACCTGGAACAAACCGGTTGAACTGGGCGGAGACCCGAATCAAGCTGAGGATATGCAAGCCAAGCTGTCTGCTGCCGAGGACCGCCGCTACCGCATGTTGGTCCTCTTGCATGCAACGCGGGCCTTCCGCAAAAGCACCCTCCCATCCTGCCCTCCCATTCTCTCATGCCTGCTTGTCTTAGGTCCGAAAAGCAGCGCTTGTATGGTGAGAACAGCTACTTTGAGGACGACAGTGGTGATGAAGACAACCAGACATCAGCCACCAAGGGTTCCCGCCAGGTGACCAAGCCCATTGCGGACACCAAGGAGGACGAGGAGGACGACGACGACGACGACCCTCTCGACGCCTTTATGGCTGGCATTGAGAAACAAGTGGCCAAGCAAAAGCACGAGGCACCAAAGGTAACCCGCACTCAGCCACCCGTACTTGACCTTTCTGTCCAAATCGATGATGACACTCGGTCTCATAAACTGTACGACGCCGCTAGATGCCCAAAGCTACGCGAGACGACATTGACGCCTTGGATGATCAAGAGGAATTCTTTCAGGAAATGGCGCACGCCAAACCAAAAGGAGCCAACCATGAGTTTGGTGATCAGGAAGAGGACGACATTGACGACGCCAATCAGGACGTCAGTGCGCTCACCTCTGAACTCGCGCCACCCGTCTGCCCCGGCAAGTTGTACGTGTTCTCGCTTCGAGACCTGACATGGTTGACATGCCTTCTTAGGAGGCTGAAATGGATTCCCGTGGCAATGTTCGCCGGCGATCAAAGAAGAAACAGGAGCAAGCCTTTTTAAAGCCGGTGGACCACGACACCGTTACCTACGAACCCTTCAATCGCGTTCGTGCACCCGCCCGTCTCTCCTCAGACCAGACACAAACACAATGCCTCTGAAGCGCTCACTCCGTTCCCCTCGGCGTGCTGCGTAGGAATTTTACGAAGAGCACCCCGATGTGACGGCCCTGAAGAGCAATGATGTGTTCCAACTGCGCAAGCGCCTCGATATCAAAGTTTTTGGTCAGTATATGCTGTCATTGGTCTTCTGCATTTCCCTTGCCTTCTTTCTCGGCCTGTCGCTCTCACCTCCAAAAAATGGCTGCGTGCTTTGATGCACAACCTTGATTTAACAGGCACTGACCCACCGCGCCCTTGCACAAGCTTTGCCTACTTTGGCTTTGACAAGATCATGATGGCCGTCATTGCCCAACAAGGCTTTTCTGAACCCACCCCCATTCAAGCCCAGGTGCGAACACACGGCCAGGCCTCCTCTTTCGCGGCTACACCCTCGAACCTCCTTTCCGACTTTGTGATCCCTCACCCCGAATCCTACTCGATATCAACTCTCCACCAATGCTTAGGCCATCCCAGCCATCATGTCAGGGCGCGACGTCATTGGCTTGGCTAAAACTGGGAGTGGCAAAACATCAGCTTTTGTTTGGCCCATGATTGTCCATGTGATGGATCAACGCGAACTGAACCCGGTGCGTTCCCGAATCAAAGCAAGGCAACGCCTGTTTTCTTGTTCGAAGCAATTTGTGCCTCACCCAGCCGCTCAATCTGCTTCGGATCATTTACTGCCCTCTTCAGGGAGAGGGCCCGATCGGACTCATTCTAGCACCCACCCGCGAGCTAGTTCAACAGATTGCCAACGAAGCCAAGCGCGTCGCTCGCCAATATGCCATCCAAACCATGGCGCTCTATGCTGGTGTATGTGCTTGTCTCGTCACAAGATGGAGGAGAGAACTCGCGATGATTTGCGCTCACCACACCCCATTCCTTCCTTGCTTCACATTCCCTTAGGGAAATCGCTTTGAGCAATCGAAACAGCTCAAACAAGGGGTAGAGATTATCGTGGCCACCCCATTCCGCCTCATTGACTTCTTACGTGACAAAGTCAGATGCCGCTTTCCCCGAAACCCTTTCTCACCGCCGCCTGAAAGCAACTGCAAACAACAACAGCGACCTGCTTGCTAATTTGTTCTCTTTTTTTTTTTTTTTTTTTTTTTTTTTTTTTGTTTCTTTGCCTCCTCCATGTAGACCATCACGCTTCAACGCGTCACCTATCTGGTTCTTGACGAAGCCGACCGCATGTTCTCAATGGGCTTTGGTGCTCAAGTTGATGCAGTGCTCGGGCAGGTAAGAGGGCTGACATTCTCTCTGAGTTGTTTGCATTTCAAATTTCGTCCCCGTTTTTCGTGGTCTTGTTCTGTAAAAACTTTCCCTGTAGCGCTTGCCCTCACGCTTGTGGTGACGAGAACAGATCCGCCCAGACCGTCAGACCTTGTTGTTCAGCGCAACAATGAAAAAGAAGGTTGAGCGGCTTGCTCAAAATAATTTGAAAGAGCCCCTCCGCATAGTTGTGGGCGAAGTTGGTGAAGCCAACCAGGACGTGGAGCAATTTGTCGAAGTCCTTCCTGATGAAGCCACAAAGTTCCGCTGGCTGCTGTTGCGTCTCGTGCAATTTCAGTCAGGTCAGCTTTCACCCAGATGCAAAGGCTTTCATGAAAACCAGCAACCCCACTTCAATGCCTTGCCTGTACGCCTGAGAGCCATTCACTAAGCGTTACCCTTGTTTCGCAGCTGGATCGCTGTTGATCTTTGCCACTCGCATTGTCGAGGCTGAACGACTTCACCAAGACCTCACAAAGGCTGGACATGAGGCTCTTTTGATGCACGGTGATTTTCACCAAGAGAAACGGTCCGAAGTTTTCAAACAGTTTAAGCAGCAACAGTGCCGGGTGCTTGTGGCGACGGATGTTGCAAGTACGTTCAGAACCGGCCGACACCACCACCTTGGAAACGTTTGCCCATCTCACCTCTTGTTCACACACTCAACCCAGCCCGTGGCCTTGACTTTCCTGATGTGCGCACGGTGGTGAGCTATACACCCGTGAAGGACTTGGACACCCACACGCACCGCATCGGCCGTACCGGCCGTGCGGGCGTCAAGGGTGATGCATACACGCTCCTGCTACCCAATCAGCACGCCAGTGCTGCCATGCTTGTGCGCAGCCTCGAGGCCGCTGGTCAAGACGTTCCAGAACTTGTGATGAAGCTCGCCACGGAGGTGAGTGTTTTTCGCAGCAAGCGACCGATATTTGTGACCTCGTGCCCTTAATAACGTGCACCGTACCACTACCAGGACCACTACTTTGCCAAAACGCGATCCCGTGGCCGCGGTGGTCGGGGAATTGCTTCGGGTCGTGGCCGGGGGCGAGGAAATGCCTTGGGCACCGGTGACGCGTCAGAAGGTGCGCACACAGTCCGAGTCTTCTGTGGCGCCATTTTTTTTCTCCGCTTCGGCATGCTGATGCTGTCTTTGTCTGTGTCTCTTAGGCACAGCTGTGCCGCCTCCACCCTCACTGACAGCCAGCGCCAACGTGCCACCACCCGCGAGCTATAGCAACGCGAGTACGGCTGCTGTCAACAGTGTCGACGCCAAGGCGGCTGAGATTCAACGAAACATGGCCATTGCCCAACAGGTTGGCATTGATGAGGTTGTCTGTTATGCGAAAAATTTGGCATCTTGGTCAGCTCAGTTAAAATATCCCTGATTTGTACACCGGGGCCTTGCCCCTGCCAATAGTACTTGCGCTCTTTGGAAGCGGAGCACGGCTCGGCTGACGTCGCGCTGTCTACATCAAGGCTGACACGAGGTCACCTTCCGCCACCTCCACCACCTCCGCCCCAGTCATCTGCAACCTCCTCCGCCCCGCCCCCAGCACCGTCTTTGGCAGCTGCACCATCTGGGGCGCCTCCCCCAAAGCGAAGCCGTTGGGATGCCCGTTAGGCGCAATACAATCAAACAAAAGGGTCCTCTTATCTTTAGCCATCCGATTATGCTTTGGACAGTTTGCTAAGCAAAACAGAAAAAGGAGAATACTGGAAAATAAAAAAAAAAAGTCCATCAGGCTCAAAACTGCAAAACTGCAGAAACGCATTGCTTGTGAACAGCATCCACAGAAACATTGAAAAAATAAAGAGAACCAAACAAAACTTGTGAGGGCATGAAGGGATTTCTGATGCCCTCTGAAGAAAATTTTACAAACAACATCATCAAGCGGCGAAAAAGGCCTGTGCACCTCTAACGTCAAAGAGCTGGAAAAATACTTTATGGACAGACTTTGAAGCCCGGGCCAGCGCCTTTGCTCAATGCCATGACAGTTCCACACACAAATTTGTATTGATCCTTAAAATTGGGAGAAGAGGGACGCGATTAGACCGTTCTATAAATACCTGGGAAGGCAGCATTTCGGAATAGAGCCAAGATGGGGCGGTACGCACCTGAGTTTGCACAAGATTCATGCGTTGCTCACGCAGCTGGGACAGGATGGCTGGAATGTTGACCTCCTTTGCTTTTTCCTGCAATTGATGCAGGCAAAGTTCGAGAAGGATGTACACGCCGGTTCGACCAATCCCAGCACTACAGTGTACGAGCAACGGCATGGGCTTGACAAGGCGAGACTTCAAGTTGTTGATCTCCTTAACCAACGTCAACATTTCAGCGCTACTCGTGGGCAGACCTGGTGCAAGGCAAGAACCAAGGACGAGCAGGCGCACACAGTTGAGACACGACCTCACAAGGCAGGCAATGGGGAGCAAGGCCAGGAAGGAAAAGTCGAGCACACGCGTGCGCACCGTGATCAGGCCACGCCGTAAACTGCAGCTGAAAAAGACGTCGTTTTCCCTTGGCATTGGCGCGTTGCACCGTAATGTCGCGTAGAATGTAGCCCTTGCGCGCCGCCTCCTTATTCAGCACAATTCTAATGCAAAATCAAGCCAGACACGATGCTAAGCTTCGCCGCCTGGCAAACTCGGACGCTTAACACAGGGAGAATGTAATGAAAAGAACCGAATATACACCAGCCAAAAGCGTACGAGAAGTCGCCGAATTGGCAAGTGTCCCCAGGAGCCGAAGGCCAGTACTGATGGCACTTTGTTCGTCCTGCCGTGCCGATGTGCCAATGTGTGCGAAAAACAGAATGAGGTCGAGCAACGAACAGATGAAAACAGCCTATCCAGACTGATTAGGTTGTCGCTGCAAGGAACGGCAGGTCCCGACTCACCGCCTTCGACCAAAGTGGTCAGCATGCAGATCAACCGCACTTGTTGCTCCCACACCATCTGCCAAAAGTGCTCTGAGGTTTCCGGCTTGGGACCCTAGTAATACAGCAACGATTAATAAGCAATGAACGCTAGAGTTGGCTCATGCTCAGGCCCAGCTACGTTGTAGTTGCGTGTAGCACACAAGAAACGGTCCCAGACTTGCCTGAGAAGCAATGTATGAAAATGTGGTGCCATTCGACTCGAAAGAGAGATGATTGGCGTTGATATAATCGTTGTTACTGCTGTCCAGCTTGACACGCGTGTCGTCATATGGCAAGATGTCCCGGTATCGGTTGCGCACCGCATTCTCTGGCTTCAAGGCCAAACTGCAATCACGCGACTTGACAAGGCCGCGACGCATCGCGGAGATGGCAGGGAAGCTTCCCGTCACGATGCGAGGTCCATTGTTGTTGCCTCCGGAACCAGCTGAGAGCGACGGGCGCGGCGGAGGCACGGGCTCGGACTCTGGCTCTGCCTTGGTGGGCGCGGGTTTGGGAAGCTGCGCGGTCAGGCTCGAAGCCTTGCTGCTAGAAGCAGTAGTCTCGCTCATGGCGCTTGTGCTGCCGCGCTTGGGAACAGGCAAAGGTTTGTTGCCCATCTGTCGTGGCGCGCTCATCTCTTGACGCAGTTTGCTCTTGGTGAAGGGGTTGTTTTTCATTGCCGCAAAAGGATTGCTACTCTTACCATTGGCTGGGCGCGGCTTTGGCGCGGGTGCCGCGGACTCAGTCTCAGTCTCAGTCTCAGTCTCAGTCTCAGTCTCAGTGGGCTGGGAAGGTCGGCGTTCACGAGGTACGGGCACAGGAGCTGGGGCGGCTGGTTCTGACTCAATTGAGGCCTGCTCGGTGGGAGCTTCCTCTTCCGAGGCTTTGTTGTCAACAGCCATGGATGCATCTGCCCCTGTGGGCTTGGCAGTAGCCGCAGGTTTACTGGCCACGTCTGGCTTGGTTGCCACCTCTGGCTTGGTGGCCACTTCTGGCTTGGTGGCCACTTCTGGCTTGGTGGCCACTTCCGGCTTGGTTGCCACCTCCGGCTTGGTTGCCACCTCAGGCTTGGTTGCCACCGCTGGCTTGGTCGGCTTATCAGCGATCGTGGGCCGTGAGGGCTTCTTGGCCACAGGCGGGGGGGTAGCAGTTTTGCTGTTTGATTCAGCCACCTCGGAGCGCTCGAGGGACGGGGAGCTGGTAAAAACGGTGTGTGGCGTTCGCGGGGGAGACGGGGGTGTTGCCTCATGGGCGGCCGCCGTCTGGGCAGGCTCGCTTGGCCCGTCTTCCAGCATCTTTCGCCGACGCTGGGTTGCGGCCAAGAGCTGATCCTGTAAGTCGGCCTGCGAGCTTTGCTTGATGGGCTTTGGTTTGTCGTCTGAATCGGACTCGCGCTTCTTGACTACAATCTTGGTTGGACTGGCAGTCAGTGCGGCGGGTGCGGGACCAGGCGGTGGTGGCGGTGGGGGGGCTGCACTTCCACTGCTGCTGCTGCTGTCTGTTACAGGGGTTACCGTAGGCGGAGCCGTGGGGGGCGCTGTAGGTGGCGCTGTAGGTGGTGCCGCGGGTGGCGCCGTGGGAGGTGCCGTGGGTCGCGCCGTGGGGGCTGTTGGCTCCGAAGACTGGTTATTGCCAACCCCAAAGGATGTTAGGGTGACTGGCTCGTCTGGCACCACCTGCTCAGGCTGGGCCGGTGCCACGGGCACAACAGGCGCAGACACAGGCTCGGAATCTTGTACCGATGAGGCGATGGGCTGCGGCTCGGTACCAAACGTGGACAAGCTCCCAGGGGAGCTGACGACACCAAATGTGGAAAACGTGCGAGCATCACCCGACTCCATGGGCGTATCTGATACACCCTCAAGCGAGCCGACCGCAGCATCATCAACGGTGGTGGACGTGTCCAGCTGACCAAATTCGCGCAAAATGGACGTGCGTCGCTCAGGTGGCGCCGGGGCTGTTGCTGAAGCAGACGAAAAAGTTGATACGCCTCGGGAATCTTCCATATCAGCAGCTGAGAAGGATGTGGCCATGACCATGGGCTGGTCCCCGGCGTCCGTTTCGGGCTGCTCATCCACATCGGGCAACGCGCTGGCTCGACGGAAAACCGGCTCGTCATCCTTGTGACGTCGATTTTTGGGACGGCGTGGGTGGATGACCAGGTTCAGTGAGCTAGGACTTGACTTAATGAGAGCCAGTACCTCGGCGTGTGTCAGCTGAGTCACATCAGTCCCGTTGATATGCGTGATTTCCTCGCCAATTTGAATCTGAGGCTCGTCGGCTGCGGCAGAGCCCTCAGCGATGCGCGAGATGAGGACGGGCGTTTTGCTATCAGCACCACCTCGAATGCCCATGCCGTACTTGCCGTCCCTCGCCAACAGGGTGACTTCCTTGCAGCGTCGCTTCACTGTCATGCGCAGAGCACCCGAATGACCACGGATCATCGTCAGTACTTCCACGTAGCTCTTGGAGGCCAGGCCCTTGCCGTTCACCTCCACCAAGACATCTTCAGATTGCAGGCGGCCATCAAGATGCGCGGCACCCCCAGCTGTGATGCTTGTCACCACGGGTAGGTTTTGACACCAAGATTCGGAACCCTCCCGGAAACCAAAACCATAGCCAGCAATGGTTCGTGGAATCCGTATCGACTCTGTAGCCCAAAAGCCTGATTCGTCGTCCACAATGGTACGACTCACGGCACTGCTGGGACGTGAGTCTACGTCCTTGCTCGTCGCCTCGCTAGTTGCTTCCACGGCGGTCTCTCCGACATCGGTCTTCTCAACGGGGACCGGCCCAGTAGTAGCCTCATCCTCCGCCTCGTCCTCATCGTATATCATGGGCATGGCAGTGACGCGAGACCGTGCACGAATGGGCACGGAGGGCCCCGGCGTGGTTGCTACCGTATCCACGCTCACGGGCTGCAAGGGTTTACGATCCAGCTCCAAAAGATCCAGGTTTAGGTCGACCCCGGACATGAGATGCAAGCGGGAGGGAATCCAAAAGGGATGCAGCTGAACTGTGCTGACAACCTCGTGCACGACCTCGGCCACGTCTTCCAGGCTATTGGCAGGGAACACTTGGCCACTGAAATAAGCATGAAAGTGCGACTTGACCTTTGCTGCCAGCTGCACCTCGGCGTGTACACGAGAAGCACTGTCGTGGGGCATCACAAGACGCGCTCGGCGCGAGGTGTCACAGTCAAGGAAAATTACAATGGGAAAAACGCCATGTTTCTGCAGCGTGGTGATGACAAGGGGATCACAAATGGGGATGACAGGATGGCGACCATCCTCGTCGGTCCTGAGTGATGCATAGGGCAGACCGTACAGGTCACTGCCATAGCGAACGACCTCGGCGTACTCGTCGCGCATGGCTTGATGGATGAAGGTATCCAAATCCACAAAGCGATAAGACTCGGCCTCCCCATGCGAGTCTGTCGCGTCATGACGGACCAACCGGTAGGCGTCAGGAAAGCGCTCCAGCAATGCTGCCTCCACGTTGGCCTTGCCAGCGCCGAGCAGCACAACTGGGCGCGGGGCAGTGACCGCGGCATGTACGCTCACGGGTTCGTACACAACGGTGGTGTCGCGTTGTGCATCGTCGCGGTGCTCCGTTAGCTCGCGCTGCCTCATCCCTGCCATCATTGTACTGAGGCGCGTGACGGTGGGTAGCTCTTTGAGCGCTAGCGGGCTCTGCTCCGGAGTTGTGAGAATACCAAGGCCCTGCTCCACGTCGTCAAAGGGACCCTCCTTTTGCGCCATACCACCTTCAGGATGGAGAGTGACGTGCTTGGCCAAAGATGGCAGCAGGTAGACTTCACAGTGGTCACCAGCACGCATCACGTCCGTAGTCAAACCCACAATGTCGGACGGGTGCAGGACGACGTCACCATAGTGCACGGTGCGAAGAACGCGATAGTAGGCCAAGCGGTCTTCCGCCACCTCTGCTGCAGCAATGAGGCGCCCATGGAATGTGCTCTCGTCTGCAGCCGGCGGCGGCGGTAGGAAATTAAGATGCACGGCCGATGGTTGGTTGCTTTCCGACATTGTGGGCGCATGGAACGAAGCGCGGACGGGCAGAGCATGAGGACCACCAAACTCGTTGAGCTCGTCGACGTTGCGTACCAATGCCACTCGCGGCTCGTGCACACCTTGAGCAAAGGGCTTGAGCTCCACCGTATCATGAGTGTCAACTAAAATTTCTGTTTCTGCCATCAGGGCTGCCTCTTCAGCATGTGCAAAGGTGCTCATGACACCGATACCCAAGCTTCGCTCAGGAGATGCAGCAAAAGTGCGCGGGGCAAAGGCCGTGCGCGCCTGCGTGGGGGGCACAGCATCGTCCAAATTGGCCGAAATGAGGCTTTGGTTATGAGCAGCCGGCACGGGATCCAGGACACTAAAGTCGGCAGAGTGTCGTTTGACTGATCCTGCCGTGGGCTGGACGGATCCTGGGCGATGGGAAGACCAGGACGCAAAGCTCAAATTGAGCGTGGGAACGGACGCGGAACGGTGCCGATAGATGGACTCGCGAGCCACGCCCGTGTATGAGCGTGAAGCACCAGTGCCAACACGCTGCATGCGGGCATGACGATTGCGCGTCACCGGCCGAGGTGTAAAAGTAGTGGAAAACTCGAGTGAAGACTTGACCTCTGTGAGGATCTGCTCCTGCGTGCGACCAAGAGGACTAATGTGGGCTCGTCGCAGCGCCTCATGGGACCGATCAAAAAGACCTGAGGTTTTGAGCTGCGGCTGGCGGCGTCTGCGAAAAAAGGTATGACGCTGGACGCCCGCAATCCATAGCGCTTGTGCATGTTGCTTGGTTGTACACGTGACCACATTGTGGGTATCCTACATAGCGATACAGTCAGCAAAACCGGGAGAGCTGAGACCGAGCATCATCGGCTATCACAAACCAGAGGGGGTGTAGCAAGCAAACATGCAAGTGAAACACAAAGACTGTCAAAGCCCGTACCGGTCCGTTGAGTTGCCCCTTGGTCACGAGATCGACAACGCGATTGTCAAAGGTAATCATTTGGAATCGGGCCCAGGGAAAGAACTCGACTGTGGCCATGGTATCCGACATGATGCGGATACCACGCCAGCCAATGCCGATATAGCCTGGCAAGCGATTTGATAGCTGCAAATGTATTTGCGCACAAAATGTGAAACATGACTCTGAGCGCGGGCAAAAGCCAGTTCAAGATGAAGCACGGCTAAAGCACACCCAGCACGGTGCACTCACCATCACGGGATGAATGTCCAAGCCATATAGCAACTGCTGTGAGGCCAGTTCCAAAAAGGCCAACATGGCCTCGTCTGCCGTCATGTCTCTGCAATCGAAGGGAATGGCCAACGAAGGGATTACACAAAAACATGGACCAATAGAAGCGACAGGCACGGGTTGATCGAGGAGGGACAGGGACAAGACGACAAAAGACGCACTCGAGCTGGACGTGGAGATTGCGAATTTCGTCCTCATCTTCAGGCTTTTGATCTGGCAGCAGGAGCATATCGGAGAGATAACCCTCTGGACATCGAGAGATGTTGAAGTCACCTACAGCGTGACGGCAACATGTCAGGATCAATGGCCATTGGCAGCCAATGCGACATTGAAAAAAAAAAAAAACACAGAATAAACGGGTGCCAAACCGCACCAATGTCAGCCTGCACAATGTAGGCGCAAAGTTGCCAGCAGACGTCGTGGGGAGCCACAAAACGACCGGATGCCAGATCTTCCTTGAGCTGGCAATAGTATAAGAAGCGCGTGTGGTCATGCTGCAGTTGGCGGGGATCCGCCACAAAGAATTTGACGCCAAACTCGAGCGTTACAGTGCGTGATTTGCCTGCACAAATCAGAGGCGGTCCAACGCCAAAGAACATTGTGAGCAGAACGAAATGAGAAATTCAGACAGGGATGAACGGCTGGGCATCGCACTTTGAGTTTGCCGCCGAAGCTGCACATCATCAAGGAGCCAGGCAGCAGGATCTGTACTAGGAAAGTAGAGCGCAAAGTAGTCTGTCTCTGGCAGAGGCTCGATCCTGCAGTCGTCAAACAGTGTTGAAACAATGAGGTGTGTGGCACGTCGACAATGACTCTGGGGACACGACCCACACGGGCCAAAAGAATACAATGTCATCAAGGGCAAGGCTATTGTCCAAAGCGCTTACTCGCGAAGGAAGGCGCGAAAGACTTCATCCCCCGTCGCCTTGCCGGATATGTAAATGCTGTGCTCTGTGTTGTCCAGGTGGCGAATGACACAGACGTAATCACCGCGCTTGCGTGACTTTGAGGTCGCTACGCCATTTTGAGCGTCACGCACGCTATAGGTGCCGCGCGACTTTGTCATGACGGCAGTGCAGAAACCCCTGGGAAGATCTGAAGCCCAGAGTTTGCACTGCCAGAAATGGCAAGGGCGGCGTCTGCTGTAGGAGCAAAGCCCTGCAAACTCTAGCAAGCAGGAAGTGGCACGAGCCAGCTCGATGAGGAAGAGGCTTGATCACGGCCTGCTCTCGCCCGAGTGGGTGATGCCCAAAGTCACGACGAACCTGTGTAGGAGTCGCTCGGTGAACTGGTACATGCAGGCTCGCGCAAAGCGTGCGTGTATTTGACGCACGAGCGGTCACCTTCAAGGCAGAAACCAAACGTGAATTAGTAATCACGACCCTCGACAAGCAATTTGATCTCACGAATCTAACACGGCACCTGCCGAGGCGGCAGGCAGGAAAACCAAGATGAACCCCTCGAGGAGAGGAGAGAGAAGAGAGCGAGAGAGAAAGAGAAAGCGCGAGCGTGCATGAGGGCTGCATTCAACCGCCAAAAAAAAAAAAAAAAAAAAAAAAAAAAACTACCACAACCAGAACAACAACAGCCAAAACTCAGAAGAGCGTCAATGCTGCCAGCTCGGCGATCGCGCCAAGGATTGCCGTACCCTTTAGCCCCAAGCCTGACTCAAGCCCAAATGCAGCTGATGAACAGATCAAGTCCAGCCCTGAGACACATGCACCCGAACCGAACCAACCTCTCGACGCCAGCAGCACAGCCAACAGTCAGAGCCAGAGCCCGCCCCTCCCTCGAAAGCGAGAGAGAGATGGAAAAAGGAGAGCGGAGACAAGTGGAGATTGGAAGTGGTGGCTTGAGAGATGTGCAGACTTGCAGACGTAGATGGGCAAAAACGTAAGGCGACGTGCACCTTGAGCAGAGAGTGGCGCACGCACGGCGATAAAGTCAGAGACACTGCGCGACAAGGAGAAGAACAAAAAGTTCAAGCGGAGGAGATTTTGCTTTTGTTGAAGCGGACGAAAAGTTCTGACACGAGGTAGCTGCCCCATCCGCTTGCATTGGCGATGAATTACATTTGGTAGTTAGTGTTAAGTGTGACACTGGCTACACTAAATGTCGATTGTTGGACAAGTGCATGTGTGCTTGAACCCAAAAAGCTGACAACACAGAAGAAACGCGCTATGTTGATGTGTAGTAGATTTAACCCTTCACTTCTGTCTGACAATAGAGAACGGATGATCGTCACCTTGCCCCACGGTCCCCTAGCGCAGAGTCGATGACCCCAAATGCGACTTGGCACGACTGACGGCGTCCCAACCAAAAAAAAAAAAAAAAAAAGAAGAATGCAAAAAAAAGAAGTGCCAAAAGGGAGAAACAAGCAAAAAACGACAGCTGCAGGATTCGAACCTACGCGGGGAGACCCCATTTGATTTCTAGTCAAACGCCTTAACCACTCGGCCAAGCTGTCCAGTTTATGATACGGGTTAAAGTTAGGAAGTAAAATAGTATATAAAGGGTTTAGAGTTTGAATCTTAGTTTGGACTCGCGTCAAGAGTTGCACATTAAGCCTAAAGAGGGTGATAAGGTCAATGACAAGCCGGCGTAGTTGTGATCGAGGGCCACCCACTTGGGAATAATCCGAGCCACACAGATTCGCCGATCATTTTAAGAGCGCAGCTATCCTCTATCGAGTTATGGTATCAGGGCGTACCTTGAGTAAGCTCTATGAGTGTGGTTTGATTTTCCAGTGTCAGGCTGGAGGCCGGTTTTGGGGTTACGAGGAAGCGCGTAGGTTTGAGGAAGGGTTTTGAGAGAGGTTTGAGAGACGTCCGTCGGGACGAAGCGAAAGCTTTGATGGTGTCTTGAGCTCAATTGAACTGGCTGCGGTCGGCACGCATTCACAGTGACCAGACCAGGTGCGCGGTTCGAATCGCTGTAGAGCCGCTCAATCCCGAGGATAGGGAAAGTGCAACTCGTGCCCGACCGCAGGTGCCACAACAAAGGGAAACAACAGTAGTCACCAGCTTATTGCCCCAGGGCATGTGCCAGGAATCGTGGGGTCTAAGTGTAGGTGTGTATGTGTGAGTGTCAGGCTCCAGGACGGCACGTTTTGGACGCTAACAGTGAGATCACAGCAGCTATGGGAGTTTCAGTGGAAAGACCCATAGTGATCGACACTGAGTGTGCGAAAGCAGTGGAATTGCTCAAATGCGTGGAAGCACGGATTTGACGCTAACACCCAGCTGTACAAAGAGACTCACATGTCAATTGGTGGGGCGAGGCAAATCGGTGAAGAAAATGGCTTTCCGCACCAGCAGCTACATGTCAGGCTCCAGCACGTCTGGAGGCCGTCTTTGGGTTGCGAGGAAGCGCGTAGGTTTGAGGAAGCGTTTTGAGAGAGGTTTGAGAGACGTCCGTCGGAACGGAGCGAAAGCTTTGGTGGTGTCTTGAGGTCAATTGAACCAGCTGCGGTCGGCAAGCATTCACAGTGACCAGACCAGGTGCACCGTTAGAATAGCTGTAGAGTCGCTCAATCCCGAGGATAGGGAAAGTCACAAGAGAGCAGAGCACACAGGAGAGCAAAGGGGAGACAGAATGGCAGGGGGCTTGACGTACCTGCGGTCGGCAAGCATTCACAGTGACCAGACCAGGTGCACCGTTAGAATAGCTGTAGAGTCGCTCAATCCCGAGGATAGGGAAAGTGCAACTCGTGCCCGACCGCAGGTGCCACAACAAAGGGAAACAACAGTAGTCACAAGCTTATTGCCCCAGGGCAGCTGCCCAGGCATCGTGGGGACCGCGTCACACGCGGTGTTTACTCATGTGACTCCCACGAGGAGGATCAGGCCCAGGGGGTCCAAGTGTAGGTGTCAGTGTGAGGTCGTCGCAGCTATGGGATACCAATAGGAAGACCCATAGCGACCGATGCTGAGTGTGTGCGAAAGCAGTGGGAGTGCTCAAATGCGTGGAAGCACGGATTTGACGCTAACACTACAGTGATTAAGCTCCATTATGTAGGTAGACCATGTCTGGCTCCACGGCGTGTGGAGGCCAGTGCTCAAATGCGTGGAAGCACAGATTTGATGCGAGACTTTCGGCGGGAACAGCGAAGGCTTTGATGGTGTCTTGAGGTCAATTGAACTGGCTGCGATCGCAGTGACCAGATCAGGTGCACCGTTAGTATAGCTGCAGGGTCGCTAACAACAAGAAGCGACAATGGTTGTGTCACAAGCACACATACAAGGCAGTCTGCAAAGGAATTGCGAGATATGCCATCGTGGGAAGGCACGCCTCAGTCTGGGCCTGTGTCTGTGTGTGTGTCAATGTCTATGTCTGTGTCTGTGTCTGTGTGATCGTCAGTGAGTGAAGTTGTGCCAACGATGGAGTGCTCAAGCGACGAGACTCAGAGTGGGTGATGCTGAGTGCGTGCAATGGCAGTGGATGTGTGAAAATCCATGTGCATGGCTTCACACGCATACCCCGGTTTCACACACCACGCATGCACGTATAAGACGTGAACTGAACAACAAGGCAAAGCACATTTCTGGCAAGCTCAATGACATGCTGACGACCGGTGTCTCGCTTCAGGCCCTCCTCACGGCCATGCAGTACGTGCCTAGCCTCATCAACCACCTCTAGACGCTGCCCCCAAGTCTGACGTCGGGCTTGTCCGAGCTCTTGAACTGTGCTTGCAAGGACACCTTTGTCAAAGCCTTTTTTGCCAAGGTAAACCTGTCTGCACCAGCCGGAGCTGAAGGTCATGACGTTACGCTGGAACAGCTCCTGGAAGCTCGCATCTTCACGCGGGCCAACACCGGGGGCTTTGGCCTGCACGACTTGATTGAGCGCGGTCCGGTGGCTTATGTCTGCAACATGGCCAAGCTGGCCACTCACTACCCTCGGGTCTACGATCGACTTTTGGAGGATGAATCGAGGGCTGCTGACTTTGAGGCCCACGTGCAGCGAGCCGGCTTCCAGATGGCCACGGTCAAGGACGCGGGGACTCAGCGACCAGCTGAGATCATTGCCCTCCGCTCCAAGGCGGCACTGGACGACCTGATGGCCAAGTGCGCGCTGGACCTGCAGCAGGCATATCTGGCCTCACGTGAGTGGGGCGTCAGCACTGTCTTGACCATGCGGGGTCGGGACAAGTTGCGTCGCTTGAGCGACACGACCTTTGCCATTGCGGTCGTGTCCATGATGGGTTTTGGCCTCCATGAACTCATCAACGTCAAGCCGACGGACAAGTGCCCGCTCTGCAGCAGCAAGACACCTCAGCCGCGACTAACCCGCGAGCACCTGCTGACCTGCCGTCCCATCAAGCGACACAACGCCCTTCGCGACGAGATGGGCCGCCTGCTCAG